GAGGAATTCACAGCAGGAATTTCCAAGGTATCAGACTGGCCAAATTCCAGGGGAAAAGTTGGAAGCAGAGATTGGTTTTGGGGTGGAGAATGTTCATCCTGGGAATTCCAGGAGGAAAAGTGGGAAGCAGAGATTGGTTTTGGGAAGCAGGGAATGGTTTTGGGGTAGGGATTGGGAATGTTCATCCTGCGGAATTCTAGCAGGAAAAAGGGGAAACCAGGATTGGTTTTGGGGTGGGGATTGGGAATGCTCATCCTGGGAATTCCAGCAGGAAAAAGGGGAAACAAGGATTGGGAATGTTCGTCCTGGGAATTCCAGCAGGAAAAGTGGGAAGCAGGGACTGCCTGGCCAAGGATCTGGGTGCTGCCACCTGGGATCCAGAGATTTTGGGATGGTGCCACCTGGGATCCAGAGATTTTGGGATGGTGCCACCTGGGATCCAGAGGCCAGCAGGAAAAAGGGGAAGCAGGGACTGCCTGGCCAAGGATCTGGGTGCTGCCACCTGGGATCCAGAGATTTTGGGATGGTGCCACCTGGGATCCAGAGATTTTGGGATGGTGCCACCTGGGATCCAGAGGCTGAGGATTGGTGTCACCTTGGATCAAGGGGCGGCAGGGTGGTGCCACCTCAGATCCTGAGGCTACAGGGTGGTGCCACCTCAGATCCAGCAACCCCAGGGTGATGCCACCTCATATCCAGAGGCTACAGGGTGGTGCCACTTGGGATCCTGACACTCCAGATCACTGGCACCATGGTTCCAGAGGCTCCATGGTGGTGCCACCTCAGATCCTGACACCTCAGGGCGGTGCCACCTCAGATCCAGCCACTCCAAGGTGGTGCCCCCTCAGATCTAAAAGCTCCAGGGTGGTGCCACCTCAGATCCAGCAACTCCAGGGTGGTGCCCACTCAGATCCTGACACCTCAGGGTGGTGCCACCTGGGATCCTGACACTCCAGAGCACTGGCACCATGGTTCCAGAGGCTCCATGGTGGTGCCACCTCAGATCCTGACACCCCAGGGCACTGCCACCTTGGATCCAGAGGCTCAGGATTGGTGCCACCTTGGATCCAGAGGTTCCAGGGTGCTGCCATCTCGGATCCTGACACTCCAGGGCGGTGCCACCTTGGATCCAGAGGCTCAGGATTGGTGCCACCTTGGATCCAGAGGTTCCAGGGTGCTGCCATCTCGGATCCTGACACTCCAGGGCGGTGCCACCTCAGACCCAGGGGCTGCAGGTTGGTGCCACCTCAGAATGTGACACTCCAGGGTGGTGCCCCTCAGACCCAAGGCTCCAGGGTGGTGCCCCTGGCACCCCGAGGCCGCCCCACTCCCAGCAGACACCCCCCGATGACAAACCCACCTTGGAGGCGCCGAGCACGAAGGTGTGCGCCACGTTGGCGATGAAGCCGTCCACGTGCACGCCCAGGTCGCTGCAACAGAGGGGAAAACGGGAATTCCAGGAATTCCAGCTGGATCCCAGAGGCTCCAGCACATGGAATGCTGCCCCAGGAGCCCCTCCAGGCTGGTTATTAGGCTTTAATTAACAAGGAATTAACGCCGTGGCAAAAATGCGGGGCGGGAATGGGTGGTCTGACAGGTTCTGCCACCGTGGATAATTTTGGGATTTTGGGAAGGGAGAGGGGATTCCTGTGGAATGGGATTCAGGCACTCACATTTTGACCAAGTCCCCGTCCTTGAGGATGTAATCCTGGTCGCTCTTGAGCGGGGAGAAGTGACACACACAGTTATTTACGGATATACTCGTGGGGAAGGCGATTCCTGGGGATGGGAACAGGAAAAAAATCATGGATTTGGGATTTGGGGTGACCTTAAAGCTCTGTGCCACCCTCCTGGGACACCTGCCCCATCCCAGGCTGCTCCAACCAGGCCTGGGATGTTGCAGGGATGGGAATTCCCTTCCAGTGCCTATTTCTTCCCAACATTCCATCTAAATCAACTTCCAGCACCTCCAGCTTCGGGACTGGGATGATTTTAAAGCTCCATTCCACCCTCCTGGGACACTTTCCCCACCCCAGGCTGCTCCAGCCAGGCCTGGGATGTTTGCAGGGATGAGAACTCCATTCCAGTGCCTCTTTCTTCCCAATATCCCACCTGAACCTCCTTCCAGCACCTCCAACTCTGGGATTTGGGGACTTTAAAGCTCCATTCCACCCTCCTGGGACACCTTCCCCTACCCCAGGCTGCTCCAGCCAGGTCTGGGATGTTTGCAGGGATGAGAACTCCATTCCAGTGCCTCTTTCTTCCCAACAATCCACCTGAACCTCCTTCCAGCACCTCCAGCTCTGGGATTTGGGGACTTTAAAGCTCCATTCCACCCTCCTGGGACACCCTCCCCTACCCCAGGCTGGCCTGGGTCACTGTGCAGGGATGGGAATTCCATTCCAGCACCTCTCAGGTAAAGAATTTCTTCCCAATATCCCACTTAAACCTCCTTCCTGCACCCTCAGGATGGGAATTTGGTGACAAATCCCAGTGTCCCAAACCCTCCAGAGTCACCCTCCCACGTAATCCCAATGGAATGATTGGAATAATGGAAACTGAGGCGCAGCAGGGAGGAGGATTTGGTTTAAAATCAAGGAAGAACAACAAGAATTCCTCATTCCCAGGAAGGATAAGCCCTCACCTTTCTTCATTTCCTTTTCCTTCTTGAAGATTTTCCCTGTCTCTTCCATGATCATGGCATCGCCCTTCTCGCACAGGCACAGCACGGACGCGCCGGGAGCCGCCGCCTCCACCACGGCCCTCAGCACCCCTGAAATTCCCAAAAAAACAACATTTCACCAGGTTTTCATCCATTTCACGGACACACAGCCCCAAATCCCACACCTCAAATTGTATTCCTGAGGTTCCACGCCCGGGGAAGGCACAAATCCTGTTTTATTTGGGGATTTTTTTGGGAAGAGGGAGTGCCACGCTGCCAAATTCCTTCTGGGAGAAGTCAGAGCTCCTGGAACAGGTTTGGGAATGACTGGGAGACATCAAAGGGCACTCCACGAGTCCCTGTTTTCCAAGGAATCCGTGTGCTGGCACAGGGAACGCCCCAAGAAGTTTGGGGAATGCTCCACTCCCAAAAAATATCCATCGGGAATTCCAGCCTGCCTCGTGCCTGTGGGAAAGAAGTGTCCCCAGAGCTTCCTCCACAGCGCTGATCCCAAAATATTCTGGGATCCTGGAATGAGATCCTGGAATGGGATTCTTAAAATATTCTGGGATCCTGGAATGGAATCCTAAAATATTCTGGGATCCTGGAATGGGTTAGGGAATGGGATCCCAAAATATTCTGGGATCCCAAAACAATTCTGGGATCCTGGGCTGGGATCCCAAAATATTCTGGGATCCTGGAATGGAATCCTAAAATATTCTGGGATCCTGGAACAGGATGCCAAAATATTTTGGGATCTTGGAATGGGATTCCTAAAATATTCTAGGATCCTGGACTGAGATCCCAAAACATTCTGGGATCCTGGAATGGGACCCCAAAACATTCCCCCCTTTGTCCCACGGTGCTCAGAATTCCAAGGAATCCTCGGGAGTGCTGCGGCACTGTCACCTGTGCAGGGACTTCACATGCCACCGCTTTTCCATGGGAAAGTTGGGAATATTTCAAAGCAAGGATAACACTGCCGATAAGAGCCGGCGGGACACGGAGGGGGAACAAAACAAACGGCCCAAAAAAAAAACCCAAAAAAAAACCAGATAAAGGGGAAAAGCCCTCGGAGCATTCCAAGGGATCAGAGGAACAGGAACATCCCTGGAATCCCTCTCTCTTCCCGATGTTTTTTAGGGAGTTAAGGCACTTTTAATCCCTAAAAACCAACAGCTGGAAGGTTTTTTTGCCGGTTTTTTTGGTGTGTTTGCTCTTCCCAACCTGCGTGGAGCTGCCTTTCCCCCCGGGAAGGGAGGCGGCCAAACTTCCAGTCTGCCCAGGAGACCTCCCTCCCTTCCCGAAGGGAATCCCCGCTCCCGGCCGCCTCCCGGGACACCGGCGCTTCAAAAGAAGCCCTGCAGTCAGCAGGAAGCGGGGTGGGACACCGGGGAGCCCCGCGGAACCGGTCCGGGCGGCTCCCGGAGCCGGGACACCGGGAACGGCGGGGAAAGGGCTTAAAAAAAAACCGGGGAAGGAGGGGAGGGGGGCAGAGCCTGCCGGGGTGGGGGCAGCGGCTGGAGCCCCGTTCCCGGGACGGGACCCCCATCCTGACCGGGACGGGACCCCCGTTACCGGGACGGGACCCCCGTTCCCGGGCTGGATCCCGTTCCCGGGATGGGACTCCCAGACCGGTTCGGGTCCCCATTCCCGGGGCTGGATTCCATTCCCGGGGCAGGACCCCCATTCCCAGAGCCGGACCCCGTTACCGGGACAGGACCCCCGTTCCTGGGACGGAACCCCCAGACCGGTTCGGGACCCCCTTCCCGGGACAGGACCCCCGGACCGGTTCGGGACCCCATTCCCAGAACCGGACCCTATTCCCGGGACAGGATCCAGTTCCCGGGACAGGACCCCCGTTCCCGGGACAGGACCCTGATCCCAGAACCGGAGCCCCATTCCGGGGACAGGCTCCCGCTCCCGGTATAGGACCCCCTGCCCGGTTCGGGACCCCCTTCCCAGAACCGGACCCCTCATTTCCAGCCCCCGTTCCCATCCAGGCCCCCCACCTGGGGCTCCCGTCCAGTCGCCGGTGTTCAGCCCCCCCTAACCGGTACCGGAGAGGGAGGGGGGGGTCACACATGAACAAAAGCGGCACCGGCGGGGTCTGGAGCCCCGGGGGGCGGCAGGCCCGGCCCCGCTCCCCCCGCGCCGCCGGTGCACGTGGGGCGCGGTACCACGTGCGGGCAGCGGCGGCCGCGCGGGGCCGGGCCCCGCCGGGACCGGGTGGGTCCCGCGTACCGGGGGGGGTCACACCGGGACACGGGGGGCCCAGCCCGCTCCCCCCTCACCGCCCCCAGCCCCAAGCAGCGCTCCCCAACCCGCGGGGCGGATCCCGGGGGAGGGGGGACACCCCAAACCTTCACTCAATGGGGAACCCTGAAAATGAGTCTGGGGTCCTTCAGAAATCCCCTCTGGTGCCCCCCAGGCAGCCCGGGGGGGGGCTCAAGGGACCCCAAAAGCCCTCAGGGACCCCAAAACCCCCCAGGGATCCCCCCAGGGATTTGGGGAGCACCTTCAGTGATTGCGGGGGGGGGGAGGAAGGAAATAATGGGAGGGGTCTCCCGGGGGTCTCCCGGGGGTCTCCCTCCCCACCTGGGCATGCTCAACCTCACCCCCCTCCCCAAAAAAAAAAAAAAGGAGGTGCAGAGAGCTGAGACCCCCCAAAAAAACCCCACAGCAACCCCTCCTTTGGGCGGGGGGGTGAATCCTTCATCTTCAGCGCGACCCCCCCCCAAATTGGGGAGGTCCGGGGGGGGGTCCCGGGGGTCCTTTAAGTCCTCTGGGGGTCGCTTTTGGCGAAGAGGCGGCTGTGCCAATAGTCGGGGTTGTCGAAGGCGCAGTCCGAGGCTTCCAGGCTCCGCAGGGGCTTCATGGGGGTCGCGGGGGGGATTTGGGGGTGGGCTTGGGGCGGCCGCAGCACCGCCTCCATCTCCTCGTAGCCCTGCTCCTCCTCGGGGGTCGCGGGGGGGTCTCCCATGGGGGTGTAGCCGCGGTGCCCCCCCAGGAGCGAGCGGCTGAGCCGCGGCTGTTTGTTCATGTATTCGTAATCTTCGTCCTCATCCTCGTCTTCCTCGCCCCCGGTGAGCCCCCCCGCCCCCCCGCCGCGGTTTTGGGGGGGTCCCCCCGGCTCGGGGGTCACCTCCATGTATTCGTAGCCCAGTTCTTCCAGCGAGGCCGGGCGGGGTTGGGGGGAGACCCCCGGGGGTCGCCGGTTCATGTATTCGTACTCTTCCTCCTCCTCTTCCTCCTCGGCGGTCGGTACCGAGCCCCCCGCGGGGTCTGAGGGGTCACACACCGGTCAGGGACCCCCCCTCAGAACCGGCCCGCAGGACCCCCGGGGTGGGGGGCTTCACCCGGGGTCAGCCCGGCCCCAAATCATAAAGGAGCGTCCCCAAAATGAGCCCAAAAAACCCAAAAAATGAGGGTGGGACCCCCCAAAAATGGGGATGGACCCCCCTCCCAGAGGCACAGGAGACCCCAAACCCTGCGGGATGGGACCCCCCAAGGACCCCCACGGCCCCCCCCCAGAGCCCCCCCTCACCGCGGAGGGCGCAGTTGGGGGTGACGTAGCCGTTGGGGTCCTCCTCGCTGCCCTGGGAGGCGGGGGGCGCGGGGGGCAGGCTCTCCCGCTGGGACAGGTAGGCGCTGTCCCCCCGCGAGCGCAGGCTGCGGCACAGGCTGCCCGCCAGGGACCCCCCCTCGCCCCCCAGCTCCAGCTCCGAGGCGGTGCCGCGACCCTCGGAGCACTCGGACACCGTCCGGCCCAGAGAGCCCTGGCGGCCCCGCCGCGCCGGCCGCGACCCCCCGGGCTGGGGACAGGGACGGGGGAGTCAGGGGGGGGCACCCCAAACCTGACCCGGACCCCAAACCCAGGAACCCAGACAGGGACCCCCCCACCCTGGGGACAGCGGGGGTCAGGGGGGGACACCCCAAACCCGCCCCGGGACCCCAAACCTGACCCGGGACCCCAAACCTGACCCGGGACAGAACCCCCCCTCCCAAACCTCACCGGGGACCCCAAACCCACCCCAGGACCCCCCGGGCTGGGGACAGAGACGGGGGTCGGGGGGGGACACCCCAAACCCGCCCCGGGACCCCAAATCTGACCCGGGACAGGGACAGCGGGGACACGGGGGACACGGGGGACAGCGGGGACAGCAGGGACAGAGGGGACAGCGGGGACACGGGGGACAGCCCGGCCAGGCAGATCCCGGTTCACGGCTCGGCCCCGAACGTCATCATCTCCCACAGCGTCACCCCTGGGGACACCGGGGACACCTGTGAGCCACGGGACACCGGGGACAGCAGGGACAGTGGGGACAGAGGGGACACCGGGGACACGGGGGACAGCCATGAGCCACGGGACACCGGGGACGGTGGGGACACCGGGGACACCGGGGACAGCGGGGACAGCCGTGAGCCATGGGGACAGCGGGGACAGTGGGAACAGCAATGACACCGGGGACAGCCCGGCCAGGTGGATCCCGGCATGGGGCTCATCATCTCCCGCAGTGTCACCCCTGGGGACACCAGAGGGACAGCGGGGACAGCAGGGACAGCCAGTGAGCCACAGGAACACCGGGGACACCAGGGACACGGGGGACAGCCTGGCCAGGCAGATCGCGGTGTACGGGTCATCACCTCCCACAGCGTCACCTCTGGGGACACCGGGGACAGCCGTGAGCCACGGGGGCAGCAGGGACAGCGGGGGACAGCTTGTGAGCCACGGGGACACGGGGGACACCGGGGACAGCAGGGGAAAGCAGTGGACATGGGGGACATCAGGGACACCTGGTGAGTCCATCAGGGGACACCAGGGGGACGCTGGGAGATAGCACAGGACAGTGGGGACAGCAGGGACAGCGGGGACAGCGGGGACACTGGTGACACTGGGAACAGCGGTGACACTGGGGACAGCGGGGACAGCGGTGACACTGGTGACACTGGGGACAGCGGTGACACTGGGGACACTGGGGACAGCGGTGGCTCACCGTAGCTCCAGACGTCGCTCTGGTGCGTGTACTTGCCGAAGTGAATGCTCTCCAGGGCCATCCACTTGATGGGCGTCTGCGGGAAAGGGGGTGACAGGATGGCATTGGGGTGACAGGATGGCATTGGGGGTGACTGGGGGCTCACCTTGATGACCAGGTAGCGCGGCGGGTCGCGGGCCATGCGCGTGAACTCGTTGGCCAGCTCCTTGAAGGTGGGGCGGATGTTCTCATCGATCATCCAGCCTGGGGACAGCGACACCGTCAGGGGGGACACGGGGGAGGGGACACGGCCGCGGGGTGGGGACAGGGTCATGGGTGGGGACACGGCCAGGACACAGCCTGGGGACGGGGACAGGAGCAAGACCTGTCCAGGGCTGGGGACAGCAGCAGGACCCGACCCACCCTGGTGACAACTCTGGTGACAACCCTGGGGACAACTCTGGGGACAGCTCTGGAGACCCTGCCCAGCCCTGGGGACACCCTGGTGAAAACTCTGGGGACAGCAGCAGGACCCTGCCCAGCCCTGGTGACAGCCTGGTGGCAGCCCTGGTGACACCCTGGGGACAGCCCTGGTGCCACTCTGGTGACACCCTGGTGGCACCCTGGTGACACCGTGGTGACACCCTGGGGACAGTCCTGGTGCCACTCTGGTGGTAGCTCTGGTGACACCCTGGTGGCACCCTGGTGGCACCGTGGTGACACCCTGTGGCAACCCTGAGGACAGCCTTGGGGACACTCTGGTGGCAGCCCTGTGGCAGCCCTGGTGGCACGCTGGTGGCACTGTGGTGACACCCTGGAGACAGCCCTGGGGACAGCCCTTGTGACAGCCCTGTGGCAGCCCTGGTGGCACGCTGGTGGCACTGTGGTGATACTCTGGTGACAGCCCTGGGGACAGCCTTGGGGACACCCTGGTGGCACTTGACATTGATGGCATTTGGGGTGACATTGATGGCATTGGGGTGACACCGATGGCATTGGGGTGACATTGATGGCATTGGGGGTGACATTGATGGCATTGGGGTGACACCGATGGCATTGGGGGTGACACTGATGGCATTGGGGTGACATTGATGGCATTGGGGTGACATTGATGGCATTGGGGGTGACACTGATGGCATTGGGGTGACATTGATGGCATTGGGGTGACATTGATGGCATTGGGGGTGACACTGATGGCATTGGGGTGACATTGATGGCATTGGGGGTGACATTGATGGCATTGGGGGTGTCTCAGAGTGGGTGGCACTGATGCCCTTTGGGGGTGACACCAATCCCATTGGGTGTGCCACCAATGCCATTTGGGTGCCATTTGAGGTGACACTGATGCCATTGGGGGTGTCCCACCGATGCCAGTGGGGATGTCCCAGAGTGGGTGACACCGATGCCCTTTGGGGTGACACCGGTGCCATTGGATGTCACACCAATACCATTTGGGGCTCCCACCGGTGCCATCGGGGGGTGACACCGATGCCATTGGGGTGCCACTTGGTGTGACACCAGTGCTGTTTGGGGTGACACCGTTGCCATTGGATGTCACACCGATGCCATTTGGGGGTCCCACCGGTGCCATTGGGGGGTGACACCGGTGCCCCTTGGGGGTCACACCGATGTCCCTTGGGGGTCCCACCGGTGCCATTGGGGGGTGACACCGATGTCCCTTGGGGGTCCCACCGGTGCCGTTGGGGGGTCCCAGCCCACCTTGACCTCGTTGTAGAAGTATTTCTTGTCGTCGGGGTAGAGCAGGTCGGCGATGCCGAAATCGGCCACCTGCGCCTGGCTGGGCGACTTGAGCAGCACGTTCCGGGCAGCCAGGTTCCTGTGCACCATGCGGTGCTCCTCCAGGTAGTACATCCCCTGAAAACGGGAATAAAGATGATTTTTAATATAATTTTTATTTATTTATTTAATAGATTTAATATATTTATTATATGTAAGTAATATTGATTCTATATTGTGTAATATAAAATATAACAGCCAGGTTCCTGTGCACCATGCGGTGCTCCTCCAGGCAGTACATCCCCTGAAAATGGGAATAAAGTTTAATTTTTAATCTATTTTTATTTATTGATTTATTGATTTAACGTATTTATCATATCTATGTAATATTGGTTATATATTGTGTAATATTTAATATAACAGCCAGGTTCCTGTGCACCATGCGGTGCTCCTCCAGGCAGTACATCCCCTGAAAACGGGGAGAAACCTTAATTTTTAATATCATTTTTATTTATGAAATGTATTTAATACATTATACATATATATAATCAATAATATAACCCTTCACCCCGTGTGACCCCTCGGTTTTTAGGATGGAGGAATCAGCAGGAACCACCCCAGACCCTTCACCCCTCAGTTTTTAGGATGCAGGAACACGCATCCTAAAATTGCAAATCCTTCAACGTGTCTGACTCTCAATTTTTAGGACCAAAGGAATGGACAGGAACCATCCCAAACCCTTCACCCTCAGTTTTTAGGACAAAGGAACGTGTAGGAGCCCCCCAAACCCTTCACCCCGTGTGACCCCTCAGTTTTTAGGATACAGGAACGCTCAGGATCCCCCCAAACCCTTCACCCTCAGTTTTTAGGACTGAAGGAATGTGCCCCTAGATCCTTCACCCTCTTCATTTTTAGGATTCAGGAATGCACAGGATCCCCCCCAAACTCATCACCCCGTGTGACCCCTCGGTTTTTAGCACATCAGGAAGATTCAGGAACCACTCCCAACCCTTCACCTTCTTGGTTTTTAGGATGTCAGGAACGCACAGAAGCCCCCCAAACCCTTCACCCTCAGTTTTTAGGACATCAGGAATGCTCAGGACCCCACCAAGTCCTTCATCCCGTGTGACCCCTCGGTTTTTAGGATGCAGGAAGGTGCAGGAATGCACAGGAACCACCCCAAACCCTTCACCCTCAGATTTTAGGACTGAAGAAACGCTCAGGATCCCCCCAAAGCCCATCACCCCGTGTGACCCCTCGGTTTTTAGGATGGCAGGAACACTCAGGATCCCCCCAAAGCCTTCACCCCATGTGATCCCTCAGTTTTTAGGACACAAGAATGCTCAGGATCCCCCCCAAAGCCATCACCCCTTGTGACCTCTCGTTTTTTAGGACACAAGAACGCTCAGGATGCCCCCAAACCCTTCACCCTCAGTTTTTAGGATGGCAGGAATGCTCCGGATCCCCCCAAACCCTTCACCCCCAGTTTTGAGGATGGCAGGAATGCTCAGGATCCCCCCACGCCCACCACCCCGTGTGACCCCTCGGTTTTTAGGACACAGGAACGTTCAGGATCCCCCCAAGCCCACCACCCCGTGTGACCCCTCATTTTTTAGGACACACGAACGCTCAGGATCCCCCCCAAACCCTTCACCCCCAGTTTTTAGGATGGCAGGAATGCTCAGGATCCCCCAAGCCCACCACCCCGTGTGACCCCTCGTTTTTTAGGACACAGGAACATTCAGGATCCCCCCAAGCCCACCACCCCGTGTGACCCCTCGTTTTTCAGGCCGCTCGGGACCCCGGGCACGGCGGGCACTGACCTTGGCCACCTGCACGCACCAGTTGAGCAGCAGCTGCGGGCTGATGGCGCCGCAGTTCTTGCGCACGTAGTCGAGCAGCGAGCCCAGCGGCAGCAGCTGCGTCACCAGCTGCAGCTGCGGGCCCGGGCAGATCCCCAGCAGCCGCACGATGTACGAGTGGTCCAGGCTGCCGATGGCCAGCATGTGCTGGGGGGGGACGGGGTCAGCACCCCCCGAGTGTGCCCGGGGCACCACGGATACGGGGGGACACCCAGAGCACCCCCAGAGCACCCCCAGAGCACCTCCCGAGTGTGCCCGAGGCACCACAGAGCCAGGGGGACACCCAGAGCACCCCCCGAGTGTCCCTGGGGCACCACGGATACAGGGGGACACCCAGAACATCCCTGGAGGGTTCCCGGGGCACCACGGATACAGGGGGACACCCAGAGCACCCCCAGAGCACCCCCGAGTGTGCCCGAGGCACCACAGAGCCAGGGGGACACCCAGAGCACCCCCCGAGTGTGCCCGAGGCACCATGGATACGGGGGGACACCCAGAGCACCCCCAGAGCACCCCCAGAGTGTCCCCACAGCGCCCCAGATACAGGGGACACCCAGGGCACCGCCAGAGTGTCCCTGGGGCACCACGGATACAGGGGGACACCCAGAACATCCCTGGAGGGTTCCCGGGGCACCACGGATACGGGGGGACTCCCAGAGCACCCCCAGAGCACCCCCAGAGTGTTCCTGGGGCACCACGGATACAGGGGGACACCCAGAGCACCCCCCCAGAGTGTCCGGGGTACCATGGATACAGGGGGACACCCAGAGCACCCCCAGAGTGTCCCTGGGGAACCCCAGAGCCAGGGGGACACCCGGGGCACCCCCAAAGTGTCCCTGGGGCACCACAGATACAGGGGGACCCCCGGGGCACCCCCAGAGCATCCCCAGAGCACCCCCAGAGTGTCCCCGGGGCACCCCAGATCCAGGGGACCCCC